AGAGGGAGGTGCCTAAATGGGGCCAGAGCACCCACTTTTTTCTACCCTGGCTTGAGGTCTGAAAGGATCTAAATAAGGCTTCCATTTCTGTTTTTTAGTAAATTAGTGGAGTACCTAAAATGTACTATGTCGCTAATTATAATACCATAATTTATTCTAAAAGGCAACCACAGCTTAATTGGGATTGACATAACTAAAACGATGTTGTTTAATCTATTTGTATATTAAAGATAGGGGACGCGGGTGGCGCTGTGGGTAAAACCTCAGCGCCTAGGACTTGCCAATCGCATGGTCGGCGGTTCGAATCCCCACGGCGGGGTGCGCTTCCGTTGCTCGGTCCCAGCGCCTGCCAACCTAGCAGTTTGAAAGCACCCCCGGGTGCAAGTAGATAAATAGGGACCGCTTACTAGCGGGAAGGTAAACGGCGTCCCGTGTGCTGCGCTGGCACGCCAGATGCAGCTTGTCACGCTGGCCACGTGACCCAGAAGTGTCTGCGGACAGCGCTGGCTCCCGGCCTCTAGAGTGAGATGAGCGCAGAACCCTAGAGTCTGGCAAGACTGGCCCGTACGGGCAGGGGTACCTTTACCTTTATATTAAAGATGGGTTTTTTGTACTATGGAAAATTATTGGTATTCTGAACCTGTTAATGTGCCCTTACTAAACAGACATTTTTATTTTCTCAATCAACCTTTCTGTTGCTTACTTCTGGTGAGATATTGGCCGAACAACGATGAAGCAAAGTTTTCAACAGGCAAATGGGATGACTAAATCCCAGCCTTTGAGATCGTAGGTTCTCTTCTGTCAGTAATAGTTCAATATTTAATATGTCCTTGTAATGGCTACAGTTGCATTCCTGTACAAAATTAACGAAGAGAAAGTCCCATTGAACACTCATACACATGAATTCAATGAGTAGACCTGCGTAGGATTGTGTTTTTAAATTACATTTTGACTACACACTCACTTCATTAGGAGACATAAAACCGATATACACACTGGAACTGATACTGGTTTGTCATTAGTTTTTATACTAGATCAGTTTCCTGACTTCAATGGAGCAGTAGAGAAAACTGAGAGGCAATTCTTTGTTCTTAGATTTTGATCTGGGTATCCTTTTGATTTAAAGAAGGCAAATTTGAAAATGTCAAGTACCCAAATCAATAACATATAATTCCAGGAGAAACTTCAAAATGGAGATCATCTAATTATGTTTATGTAAATGTGGTGGAGCAGAATGCTCCAATTCCATGACTGTCTAAATCAGAAGTTATGGTGCCTAGAATAAAATAAATGTTTTAAAGATTGATGTGTGGCCTCTATTAGAAAACCAATGAGAGCAACAACTCCTGCTTATATGCTCTTAATGCAAGCAATTGGCTAAAGCAACAGAATTTAAATCTTTTAACTACAGGGAATGTTGCCCATGGTCAGATCTGCTATGTTCATCCTATTATTATTAGTAGTAGTGGTGGTGGTAGTAGTATATACTGCCCTATACCCGCAGTTCTACATTCTAGTCCAGAAGTAATCTATATTTGGAGCTGGCAATATTACTGTTGTTTATTTATGTTTGTGGCCCACTCTTTTCCATAAGGTCCCAGGGCATGTTACATCTTAGAAATAGAATAGAATACAATACTGTAAAACAAACTTACCCCAACTTAGAAGTACCATACAATACATACATATCAGTGAACCCGATGGTATACAAGGATTGGTGAAGGCACTAAATATTGCTAGATTCTCATCCACCGTATTCATAAGATTTTTATAGAACAGCATTCCCAGACCTGTTATTTGTTAGCTTTTAACTTAACTCGTTGGGCCATTATACCACCACTGTCACCACCCTTCTTTATGTTACTGGTAGCATTAACAGCTGTATTTAATTCCAAAGCTTTCCATTACACATTTCACTTCCAGAAAATACTTATATTCCATCATTTTAATCTTTCATTTGTGTTTAATATTATGGAGGTTGCTGATTCTGACTCTCCTTCAAAATGGCAGTTCCAGTCAGTTTCCAGCTGAAAAGTGGGTGGCAGGGAATAACCTGGCAATTTAGTGCACGTAAATAAAAAAAGCTTTCTTGAAAACGTATAGGCGTTTTCACTAAAATCTTTTGAGAGGAACACTTTTTAGAAAATATTTGGACTGCCACATGTGGCAGACATCTTATTAGTATATTAGTGAAGTGGAGCCGGTGGACAGTTTAGTTTATTTTGTGACCAGACTTTGGTTTTCCCTCTCTCCTTTACCATTCCGCTTTGTTTGTTTGGATTTTGTCTTTCTAACTATAACTAATAAAGTGCTGTGTTACGTTGTTGACCGTACTTATGTTTGTTGCCCTTAACAAATGCTTTACAGTTTTGAGCATGAATGGAAAGCTGTGCAGACCATTCTGCATGACCTTTTTTGCATGGTCTCCAAGTTTAACCAAGTTGAGTAAAAGGTGCAGTTTTAGTCTCAATGATTTGTGTTAAAATTGTAGTCGTTTGCATGTGTATTGTATGTGTGTATGTGTTTTTTCAGCCTTTTCCAAACCTAAACGAGGCCATCGTAAAACTGCTTCATTTGGCAACATTCTGGATGTCCCAGAGATCATCAAACCAGGTATCACATACCGGCAAAGTGGGCCATTGACATGGATGCTGGAATAATGATCAGTTCTTTAAATACTTCTTGCTCCTGTTAATGAATTAACAAGCTGGCACTACATGCTAAAGAATCATGAGAAAAAGAAGGCTTTTGCTCCCATTGCAAATTAACACAATTCTTTGAACTAGTAAATAATAATAACAGGTGAATTTGTTCAAATTCTCAGTGTAGAAAGAACTTGATTTTTAAAAAATGAATTATTAATATGACTCTCAGGATAAATTTTCCTGAATTATGTCAACATACCAGTGTTGTCTTTCAAATCCAAATAGTTCTCTTCATAAAAAACCTCTTACTTAGAAAGGTTAATATGTGAAACAAGTTTGCATTTTGAATGATTAAATAACAACTACATTATCAAAATTATATCAGACCAGTTTTGGCTATAGTAATAATTAAATGGTTATTTAAACCCATGTATATGGTTTATGCAAGTGCAACAGATATGGTTAAAATAACAGATTTTAAGAAAGTATGCAATATCTATTAAGACTGACTAAATGTAGCCTGAGATATAAATGCATTTGTTACAACTATATTTTGTTAGTTTTAATTTTTACTAATTACTATTAATACATAAAGGGAATATATGGAAGGCCATGCGGTAAATAAATGACTTAAAATAAATATTTATGAATAAAAATGTAGGGCAAGATCCAGTGTTGTGCAAAGAGACTTCTTCCTCTCCTCATCCCGCCTCTTCTCTCTCTCATCCACACCAAATCTGCTCTGGATGATACACTGGTCGTTGATTACAATCAGATTTCAGAAAGAGACACACTTGTTATTGAAAAACACTGGTACACATGTACATTAATATATTTTCTTCTCCAAAAAGTTGCTATTCTGTCACAGATGTCTTATTACTGTGACTTCCTTTTCTCAATTTAACATTTTCACTTAGGGTGTTTTTAAGTTGATCTGCTCAAAACACTATATCCTTTCTTCACACTTTGGAACAGTCTCATCCTTAGTTATAATTAAGTTTGCCACAATAATTAAGTTTCCAGTCATAAGTAATTTACAACAATGTATTGGATCATAATAAGTGCTCAGAGAAAGGGATTGGCAAAAGAGCACTTTCCTGTATTCCCCCAGACATCTGAAAGTTTGGTGGGCCCTTCTGAATGGGGTGAGCTATGAAGCAAGGAGCAGTTCAAAACTGGATGCATGCCTCACCCACAGAAGTTACTTGTGCTCATATTTTTAAAATTTGCAGTTCCTTCTCCCACCCCACTGCCCTGCACCTCACCTTAGCCTTGGGAGAGACTTTTAGCGGGCTTCCGGGAAGGATGGAAATGTCTCCTCCTACAACCTTGGGATCCAAGCCATTTCTTTCTTTCTTTCTTTCTTTCTTTCTTTCTTTCTTTCTTTCTTTCTTTCTGCAAATTCAAGCAACATAATTTTTGGCTGTAAGGACAGATTGTCATAAATCTCATGACAGCTGTTTTTACTTGATAGCAAAAGCTTTTTATCTCAGAAAATGCTACCACATGTATGAGTTACCTCCTGTGGTAGAGTGACATTTCCCAACAAGTATTTGTGTTGGTTTTATAGATCTTATTCAAATCATGTGACAGTAAAAAAGGGAATTCGTGGAATGAAACTAAGGGGGCCTTGGGGAGAGAATTTTTGATTTATATTTTTCTTTGTTAAGGGAAAGATGATGATTGTATAATTTAAATTGGAATTTGGGGCTAAATAATTTAAGGTTTAAATTGGGAGTGAGAGCTTGTAGAACCAACATTATGAAAGGGGAATACAGTAGGGAGGGGGAGGGGGAAGTCCTGGAAAGTGGGCAATGAAAATTAGATTCTAAAAGTATTTCAATTTTGTTTTATTTTTATTTTTTCTGTATTCTGAAAATTTTAATAAATATGATTATAAAAAAAAACAACAAATCATGTGACAGTACAGGGAAGTGTTAGCAATAAGAATTTTATACAGAGTGCAGTGCTGGAAAGGAGGGGACAGGAAGCATTCTCTCTGAACTTCTTGATTTATTTTAGGGTCCAAGTCTATTTTTGTCAACTTTATAATTAAATAGGAATGACGCCTGTTGAGTAATGAATGCTCTATGTAAGATTGACAAATATACAGAAACAAAGTGACAATCAAAACATTCTTAACAAATGACCTTCATATAGTAGTCATTCCTAGCCAAATAACTTAGCGAATTTCATGTACCAAATACTTTATAAAAGTTCTATTACACCCTGAGTTAAAAAATGAATACAATGTTATGCGATGTCTTAGGACATAGCAAAGAAAGCTTTGAAAGGAATTCTAAATAGTCACGATATAATGCATAGCTAGAACTTGGCCTGGAAACAAAGGCCAACACCTCTGCTCTTGCCCAAGTGATAAGGAATCTCTGGTGACAAGTGGTTAGGAACTTCTTCATTACATTCTCAGCAATCCAAGTGTTTCTGGAACAACAGTAACAAATGAATTCAGTCATAAACTTTTGTAGGCATGGAGATCACCTTTTCAGATGAATGAAATACAGTATTTTCAAACAGGTTCAGTCATTGAACCTGTTTTTCATATATGTTTATGAGGAAAATTGGCATGCCAAACATTTATTCATAAATGTTTTGCACATTTGCATTATTATTTTTTACATATTTCCTGTGTTTTTTACTTTGGGATTCACTGTTGGCTCAGATCAATCTATTTCTGGTTGTGGCAGTTTCACAATATTATTTCATGTATCTCATTTCCAGAACAGTCCAAGTTTGTTTTAAACTGCACAAAAATATGCATTATTTTAAACATTTCTTCACAAGGTGCACATTATTTGTGTGCATTTTGGTATTTATTTTGAGTCAAGATTTGTGAAAAACAAAGGGTTAATGCATTCCATTCCACAAATCCAGGAAGCGCAAATCCAATTCACTTAAAATGCAGAGCTAACAAAATATGCAAGTATTCTAGTTGATAGCTAGGAGGGGGGGTTCATTAGCAAGTTACAGTTGTGAGGTTGTAGTATAATTTAAAGCAGGGATTGTCAATCTTTTGGGGCACATTTGTTATTTGGAGGCAGTGCCATGAGTGCCAGACATAAAATGGCTGCCGGGGGGGGCATAGCACAAAATGGCTGCCATATCTAAAAGAGCAGAAAGTGACAGGACCACAAAATGGTGCCGACCCCTCTCCCTCAGATAATAAGCCATTGTTATATTTGCACCTATTTTCTGCTCAGAACAGAAGGGTGAGCATGAAGTGTGGTCATGTTTCAGGGGACATATTCCGTGTAGGAGAGGCCAAAATAGTGTAAACAGCGACAGGACAAAAAGGACATTTATTCTCATTCTTTCCAGATTTTTGGTGGGACATTTACTGAGACCTGTTGCAGGCACCATAGGAGGTACTGGCAGGCACGCTGGTGCCCACAAGTGCCTCATTGATAACCCTGATTTAAGCCCTTTCAATTTACTCATGCTTCTGTATACTGTGCAATGTAACAGTAGCAAATATGTCGCAGACATTCAATTTATCCTTTGCCACAATCCCTCAACTAAAACAGCTAGAGTGACAGATTCTACAGTATCTATAACACTTCACTAAACTTCTCAGGGGAAGGATTTGAACCAGAATTTAAAGTAAAGAAAGTTACTAAACACATGTATTGATTGGTGGTCAGTACACATGTTAAGTAGCTCCCCACCCAAAATTTGTTTACCTATCATTAAAATTTAGGGTTATGGTTCTTTTTAAAGGCTTCCTTTTACCCCCAAATTACGTAATCACTTGAATGGCACTCTTTGCAGTAGGATATTCTCTTGTGTTTTAACAGCATTGTTTTCAGTTCGTAAAGAGTAAGAAGGTTACTTCTGAAAAATAGTAGTAGTAGTAATATTTATTAAATTTACTGCCTGCTCTTCGCCAACAGTGTGGTTTACAACAATTTAAAATTCAGTATTAAAAACACTTAAAACAAATTGCAGTCACAGGTGTCCTGAAACGCGCATCTCAGGTGTTAAAGGCCAATGTAAAGAGGTGCCTTTTCAGCATTCACTAAAAGCTGTATAGTGAAGGTGGCAGACATACTTTGGGTGCCACAGAAAATGCTCTCCTGGGGGCACCACCAGGACTTCTGACGGTGGCAGAAATACCAAGACCTGCTTATTTTAATACCCAAGAGCCAAGAGGGTCTATAGGAAAGGAGGCGGTCTGTCAAATATTTGGGGCCTAATCATTTGAGGGGTTTTAAACAGTAATGTGAGCACCGTGAATTGGGCCTGGAAATGAACTGGCAACCAACGTGGCTGTTTTAAAATGGGTTATATGCATTCTAAAGGCATATAATCTGGCTGCTGCATTTTGGACCAGTTGAAGTTTCTGACTTGTGTTCAAGGGTAGTGTTTATAACCGGAGCTAACAGATTTCCGTGCTGGAAGCTTGTGTTTTTATGGCTGGACCCCTAAGCTGATATTGATCCAGGAGCAACAAGTATTTATTGATTTCCTGTTTGTTTGGCTGTGCTTGAGCTGCTTGCCCTATGCCAGTACTAGTTAACTGCAATGAAAATGCCTTAGCCTAACAGCTTGCTTTAAATCTCATGCTGCTAATCTGGAGGTTTCTCATTTAAAGCAGTTTGGTGTCGTCAGTGCTACAGAGCACAACCTTCTTGAATATAAATATATAAAGGCATTTTTAATTCTACCCCACCCTGATTATTTTAACTTTTTGGTGGCCATGATATAATGTTTCAGCAGCACATGTGCTGGGTTCTTTAGATTCACAAATGTTGCTAATCTGAAAGGAGAATGGGAATTCCAGATATTTTTTACAAGTTTATTTCAGTTAAGCTAATTTTAGAACGGAGCTGTTGAATGAAATGTGGACATAATTGTTACATCAGTCATGAGTGGATCATCTTGAGGTCCATGCTAAGTTGCTAGAGCCTGTGACCAACTGCATAAATCTGTTAATGAGCAACTGCTTTTTTAAAAAAAACATCACAAGTTGTGCTTCCCAATGTAAACTCCTAATGATCATTTTCTTAATGACAGGCTGCTGCATGCTTTTTAAGGAGCAGATCACGGACCACTTAGGCAGTTCTTGGGAAGTTTGTGTAGTTGACCTGGAAGTCAAGCACTTGTGTGTGTCAGTACTCTGTAATTGATATTTTCAGAAGTGGCGCAGAAATTCTGAACCGCTTTGCTGCTCACAATATCAATTTGCTCTAAAGTTCTAAAAACTTTTAAAGTATCTGATTCCCTTTCTGTATTTTTTAAAATAACTTGTTAAATCAAAATCCTTTGGGAGAAATGGGTAACAAGCCGTCCAAATATATACTCCTTTTGGGTGGTGTGTAACTCAAGGGAAACCCAAGATGTTAAGCAAGACATTATTCAGAAAACTGGGTTGTTCTCTTCCTTTTTATCCCATTTATATTCAAACTGGAAATAAGTTCCTAGGTCACTTTAATCAACATTGAGGCCTCGTATAAAGCCAAACTGCATGTTGTAAAACAGAATGATCAATTGAAGGACGCTGAATGCATGTGCTTCTCATTGTTGGAGTGGTTGCTTGCGTTACCGCTGGTCTGTGTTTTTCTAAAACAAAAATGTTATGTAATGTAACCTTCAAAGACTGAAGAATCCTAAGTATTGTGTCAGCTGTTAATTTCAATGTGTTGGTGTTTCCTTTGGACAACTGATCTCTCATCCCAGAAGCAGCATAAACAATGATCATTAGAATAGCAAAATGCTAGCGGAAATGCTGCATACCCAAAAATTGTGATCTTTTGTTATTTTATTGGCTTGCAGATTTTAACAATGTATATATATTGCATATAGCCATTAATTTTTTTTGTTAAAAAAAACTGGTGGCATTCAGGTCTGTAATAGGTGCAAAATGGCTACTTTTTCAAGAATGGGACAAATAAGTATAATTTGATTCTCGGCAACTAAACAGGAGCATTATAACTGGAATAGAAATTGGGTTGGCCTTTCCTGTGAGAGAGAGCAAAATTATGATTTGCAGGTCAGTACTGCTGATTACTCATTTTGCTTACTAATCCAAAGAAGTGAGAAAACTGGCAGCATCTTATCGTAGTAGCCATGCTCTAGAAATCCCCATAACGTAACCTCCTTGAAATAGATGTCGTCATCAGTGCCAGCCCCCCAAGCACTAAGCCTGTTAAAGCACATGTGACAGAAGATGGTGAAGGAAAGTGCAGAAGCTATTCATGGGATAGGAGTGGTTATTGTATTAGGATATGCTTTCTGTTGACACGCCAGTGTGCAGGGTGTTTTTTTTCTTCTTAAAACTTTGCAGCTGTCTTTCTGCTCTCCCCCACTCCTCCCCATATACAAACACACTCTTTCTCTCCCTCTCGCTGGATCTGTACAAATTCCAAGCTCTTTCTGCAACAGTCGCACCCTTATTTTGTTTGAGTGCATTTCAGCTCCTTTTTTTTTCTTTCTCTCATCAGCAGGCAACGGACAACAGAGGCGCAGATCTATTCAAGACCTTAGTGTTGCTGGAACAGATTCCAACCAGGTAAAAACCCTTTTTTCACCTTGAAGATCATAGTTGGTTCATTAAATGATTGTCTAATATTATTTTATTTTACTTTTTTAAAAAAAATGTTTATGTGGGTGAGCAACTCTTTTCAAATTGAAACCACCAAATTAAAATTATAAAATACCTGAAGAGCACTAGAATTGTGAAATTGCAATGTACAGCTTTGAAGAACCTCTACCATAGCTCTGTACTGCCTTAAAGATGCTTAAACTGGCAAGAAAAGTTTCACAATATTGTCTCTCCTTTGCTATAGTCTAAAGTATATTTGCTTGCCTTTTGGTAAGACTTAGTAATGGTATAACAAGCCTATATCCCTATGTATGCTTCCAGGTGAGAAAATGGCATTGTACTTAGTAGGAATTGGTTCCAAGCGAAAAACGTCTAACATGCCTAAAAAGATTGCAAGTTCTGTTAACGCTACCCATTGAAAATGTTTATTGTTGACTATGCATATGATGCTGTTAATTATTATTTTTAAACTATAATACTTGATATTTAGCTAAATTTGAGAGCAATTTCTTGCCTGCACAAACCTTTATTTATAAAACTTAGAATTCTTCAGCTTCATTGCTTTACTGTAAAACTTTTCAAAACCGATGTGAATTTGAAAGCTCGCAAACTTGCGTTTAGGGAAAATACAACTACTGACTTATCTATAGTTTCACCTTGTCATTTGAGGTGACATTTCTGAGTACATATGCACATACCAAAGACATCTCATCTCATCACTATGTCCTTAGTGGCTTAGAGTGAAATCACTGGAAGGGGGGAAATGAAATGTTTTACGTTTTGTGTTTTTAATTTTTATACCTGAGCTAATGGAATGTCAGGCAACAGTCTTTAAACATCAGTAGCATGAGTAACATTGATTCATTTGTTTTGAATATGGTTAGTGTCAAACTAGTAATGGCAGCATGCATGCTGCCTAGGTGCTTTTCATTTTAATTTTTTGTGAAACGTGTCAGCATGGCCTTCATAATTAATACTTGTGCTCCACCTGTATTTGTATCAGCATAGAACAGGGATTGAATCTTTCCTCCCCGTTGAGATGGGAGCCCACCACAAGCCAACCAGAATCTTGGTGCAAAGTGTTTAATAACATTAGTCCTTCAATAAATTCTCTGTATATTTTTTAACAACCATCAGTCTGGACATTAATGCCCACACATTACCTATGCATGTATTATAAGAAGAAGAGCCCCACTGGATTAGACCAAAGGTCTATCGAGTCTTGCATCTTGTTTCCATTAGTGACCACCCAGATGTCTCTGGCAACCCTGCAAACAGGACATGAGCACTCTAGCCGTCTTCTGCTGTGGTTTCTCAGTAACCAGTATTCAGAGTCATGCCTGTTCTGATCCTGGAAGTGTAGCGGAGGTGTAATGTAGCCATTGATAACCTTAGCACCTTTCCTACTTTGGGCTCTAAGAAGCCCATCCATAAATGTACAGAGAAGTTTTGATTGGACTGGAGCAGGGCAGAGGTAAGAGGTGTGCACATTCCAAAGGATGGGCAACACTCCTCGTTTTCCATGACAATAATTTGTCCTTGCTAATTTTGTTGCCCTTTACAGCCGGTTCTTGTAATTTTGCATTTTTCAGCAGGGTTATTGTGTCTGATGCAATCTTGTCCCAAGAATCCTTTCACTTAACCCAGCCTACCATTCCATGTTTATTTGGTTGATGAATAGTGCTGTTTATTATCCCAATAGATCCTGCTTTTTATTTACATGATGTTATACTATT